TGGGCCTCTCAAAGTATTCAGTTGTAAGCAGGTGAGCCTCAACTGTTGTCCTTCAAGTAAGCAGACTAAGGGGAGGTGGGGGAAGAGAGGTTACCAGAGCACCAACACCAAGCACTGATTTAGCAGGGACATAGAACTAGCAGCTACCACCACTGCTACCACCAGCCAGGGCACAGAACTGCCCTCTTATGACTCTGGTTGTAATGGTAGGAATTAGTGTGGTTTGCTACATCTTCTGAGTTACCAAGAATGTCTCCTATTAAAATATAAGGCAACAAATATATGCATCAGTTTCCACTGCCTTAATGAACAGCAGACTTATGTCTTGATTTTTTTTTAAGCTTTGTTGAGAACCCAACAATGACCACTTTCAGTATCAACCCCAGGCTCCTCCACACAAGCTATCCATGAGGAAATATGTAAAGATCCAGCAAATAAGCATGAAGCCAAGGGAAAAAGAATGAGGTGTCTAGAAGAGTGCACTGTCTTGCTTGGAGCAGAAATATGTCACCCTCACACCTCTCATTTTGGACAGCTTACATTCCAGTTGTGTCACTCAACACCAGTGTCATTATATCCCACAAGAGGCAACAGAAAGGCCCTTGTGGAAAAAAGGGGGTCATTTAATATATTAAACTTTATATTTAATTCATCCTTTCATACTGAAATGAGCATCTGCAGAAACCTACCCACTGAGACTGGTAAAGAAAAACGTTCCTTAGATAAGTCTTAGTAACTTACTGCCATCTCCAAAACCCAAGAATATGACAGAGTATGGACTCATGCAATAGATTATCATCTAGGTTCTGAAGTAATATCCAAAACTGATCAAAGTACCGTATTTACTCACATAAGAAGTGAAGTGTGTTCCCCACCATCCCCCGCATCCAGCATGAGAAAAAAATGCCCTTTGTCTTATACATACAAGGAAGTCTCATTAAATTCACTGACTCTCATTAAACTGCTGCCAGAAGCAGCATGTGCTCAGTCATGGCAAGGAGCCATGAAGTTGATTAAATACAGGCAACACTCAGCATGACTATAAAACACATAGCCCATATTGGGCACCATTTTTTTAAGCACCAAAAATAAATAAATAAAATAAAAATGGGTGGGTTTTCCCTCCACAGGGAACTGGCACCAGGCCTGAAAGTACTGCAATATCAGACAAACACCAGGAGACCCAGTGGAGACTCCCCATGGTGCCAAAAATGCTTGATCTTAGCCAAAAGGCCAGGATGCTGATGGGCCCCTACCACAAGAACAGGTTAATACAGCCCATCTGAATAAAATATATGGTAGTGTCCATTGCACACAGTCCGCCTCAGTGCCAACAATTTTTTCAAGTCATGGTAAGCCACTACACTGCATACATTTCAACTTCCTCTTCACTCCTACAGCTGAGCTGCAGCATTCTTTCCCATTTCCAGAGAGTCCTCTTTCTTCACTAACCTTAAAATGTCTGGCAAACCACCAAACGGGGCCCTAAACAGTTCACCCAAAATTCCTCTGTCATCTCCCCCCAGCCTGTTGCATATGATCAGATTACCTCAGGGAAGGGTAGGGCCAAAGCCAAATCAGGTTTGCTAAACTGGGCCCCAGAGTCAACAGCATTTCAAGCCATGGTAACTCCACAGCACAGCACTGCTCCTCATCTCTATACATATATTTGGAGGATCCCAGGACTCCTGACAATAACACCTGATTCCAGTCACGAGTGGGGGGGTGCTAATTAGCAAATGGATCCTTTGCTGAAAGGAGGGGGAGGAGGGCACAAGTTGGAGTACACACTCTCTCTCTCTCTCTCTCTCTCTCTCTCTCTCTCGAGCAGTGTCAAGCATACTTTTTATCCTGTACAAGTGCTGCTTAAAATTGTGTTTAAGGAATCTGTGCTAAAACTTGCAGCAGCTTCCAAAGATAAAATGCATCAATTCTGGATCAGCTAAGACTATGGGTACTGTAATAAGTCATCTATATAGTAAATTAAATTTATTTCAAGCTCAGTATTTTCAAATTTGCCCTTCATTTCCACATGCTCAGGGACAGCAGGGTCAAGCAATAAAAGGGGGGGGGAGGGGATGCAGAGGAAAAAAGTTTAGAGGGGCAGGGGGCAAGGGGTCCACTTGACCCCCCCAGATTTAAAATTTTCCCTGCTGCAGGAGTGGGATGGGGACAAATTCAAGGTAAAACTCCAGTAATTAGATTATATACCTGGAAAATTATATCCAATGTATACATTTTTCCATATATAGAATGTAATTATTGGGGGTCTTCTTATATTCACAGTATATTACTTCTTATATTTGAGTAAATACAGCAAGTATTGCATCTGACAATTATTTCACTCTGAAAAAAAGAAAACAAGTTATAATATAGATAAGAATCTAAACAAAATCTGAGGTTCAAATTATGGACATGTAAATAGAATATTTAATTAAGTGGGCTATGACAGAAAGAATCTCTTACGATCATCCTACAAAGAGCAGTCAAGATGTGATTTTGGAGCTGCCAGCACTTGTGTTCCCAAGGCTTGGGTCATCCAATCACATAAATGAGGTATAATATTAAAAGGATCCAAATAAAACCCAAAGTTTAAATTATGGGCATGTAAATAGGACATGTAAATAACTGGGCTGTGGGAGAAAGAATTCTTATACCCATCCTACAAGCAGCAGTCATTGACGCTTCATGGTTTCACTTGTGTTCCCAGGGCTTGTCAGTCATCACTCAGTTCCCTGAAAATTGTACGAAAAAAAGGGAATTCACTCACAGAAGAGATCTTCTGAAAATCATAGGGAGCCACAGACTATCCCAGTCCTGAATGTACCAACCAGATTTGCCAGGACAAAGCTATACTTCTATTGCAATTCAGGCCTGGTGAACGCAGGATTAGTTTGAAGGATGCGGCAACATATAGTGTAAGCGTCACTAAGCGAGAAAGTTCTCAACCAACAACCAAGCCCATTCCAGCAGGAGATCCAAACCTCATCCATCCTACTTTTAGTTATATTAACTTAGCCCATTCTTAGGAGTTCTTTTGATGGAAATGAGAGACTTAAATCTACATTAAAACAAACCAGAACACCGACTGATTAAGTTCCTGACTTTTTAGGGTTCTTTGAAGGTAGGCCTCAGCTGGCAGTAAAATAAAGGAATTGAAATAGCTGTCTAAAAATGATATTTTTCCTTCCTTTGTAACAATCCTCACTCACATTTTGGATGAGAGGTGTATTCTTTGGCACATCCTTACTAAAGTCTCAAAGAACATAAAAGATCAAAGGACAATAAGAAAAAAAAAAAAACCCAAACAAACAGAAACAGTCATCTTTTACACCCTTCTAGGGACTTGTTAGGCATCTATTAGGATTAGGCATCTATTAGGTTTAACTGTCATTAAGATCATTACAAATTTAAAGGGAAAAAAATAATATTGTTTTGTTGTGGCCAGGAGTACAGCTAACTTTGAAAGCTTCCCATTGGTTCCCCTTTTACCAGCTGACTTTCCAGCAGTCTCTTACAATATCTACTATGCAAACCAAATTCATCCCTGGTACAACTCCACTGAGACCTATAGGTTTCTACGAGGATGAATTAGCCCTTGTCCATCTAAAACCAAATGCAGTAAAATCTCACTGAAGTGAAATTGCAGAGGTACAGTTTAGGGATAACAGCTGGAGAACATTAACTGTCTCTCTCCCTCTCTCCCTGGGGTTGAACATTTTTGTTGTTCAGACAGGAAGCTGTCATACACTACACTGCATAATGCAAGGATTTTGAGATCGAAGAGTGAACTGCAAAGCGGAGAAAAGAGTGCACAAAAGTTTGGGGGGAAAAAAACCAGAGCAAACCTAATTGAAACATCTCTTAGATTTTTAGATAACATCAGTGTCATTTATATAAACGTGGGCAGACTTAACTGCAAGACTGAAATGGCTTTAACCACTTAAAAAATAAAGTTGATTTATCTTCAGTTATTTTTCTGTCTTCACTAGAGGCTCATCCTGTGTGACACACTTAACTCCTTCCTGCTGGACTCAGGGGAATCAAGACACTGGACACCTAGCTGAAGTTGCTCACAACGCTTTCCAAAATCATGTTTCTGAGCATGCAATGATTGCAAAGAGCCTACCACAGGCTTGCTTTCATCCAGCTGCTGCAAACAGAACAACTCTCGGAGTTAACTCCCAACACAACCAAAAAGCCCAGGCTCAGTCAGTGGCCCAGATATGATACAGCACAAAAAAAAATCAGCATGAGCTTCAGTAACAAAAGCATGTTAATGAACAGCTGCTTCACCTGGGACAGCTTAAACCAAAGTTGTGTGCCAGGCCATCCCTGGCCTCACCTCTGCTTCCGCAGTAAGGTTCAGCCCCTTCAACAGAGGCACCTAACCTGACATCTAACTCCTCCAGGGTCTGTTTGGTCCTCCCCAGGTGAGGCTGAAGTTGGTTCCTCATGCCGAAATCCCAGCTCCTTTTTCCAAGCTCATCTTTACACAATGAGAGGTGGTTAGTAATGAATTAGACGTGCTCAAGAGTCCGGATTTCATCCAAGTTAGATATTCACCAGTAAAAAATGCAAAATAATATCACATACCAAGTCCGTGGCTGCAGAGAAGGAGCTGAGATCAAGCTGGGCTTATGGATCAAAAAATTCTCCCAAACAGGTAAGGAGGAACCAGCGGCACCCTCATTCTCCTCCCTGCCGGGGAGGGGGGCAGAGAAGTTCCTCCTTCCCCCATATCAAGGGTGGCCAAATAAACCGAGTACAACCAGGCACCCTGAAGCAGCAGCATTAGCACCCTGGGTACTGGGCAGGGAAGAGCAGGGCGGTGCAGCGCCTGGGGGTGCCCCGACCCCTGCCAAGAATGAGGCAGGGCAGGGCCTGGGGGCCCCCTAGCCCCTGCAAGGACGGGGCAGGCAGGAAAACCAGGGAGCCGCTGCGCAGCCAAGCTGGTGTCAGCCCAGGGCCTGTCCCGGCGCGGGCAGGCGCGCACTCACCCTCGCTGCCGCACTGCTTGCCATTGTTAGCTCCCATCCTGCCGCCGTCATGCTCCGCGCATGGCCGAGCCGGGGGGGGGGGGGGGC